GATAGATAGATAGATAGATAGATAGATAGATAGATAGATAGATAGATGGATAGATAGATAGATAGATAGATAGATAGATAGATAGATAGATAGAGATAGTTTTTATTGAAATGTGAATAGGTTATCTTTCAGGGGTCCACAAAGGTCTGATCTCTGTTATTTTCCCAGCCAGCAAATCTTCATTAGGGCTAAGATGACCATTTTTTTCCTCCAAATTATCCCATTACGTCTGACATAAACAACCCAAAGTGCCGCCTCCCATTGGCTGGCCGCAGGGTCATGTGAGCCGCACGGCCGTCCGTCTATTTGACAGCCGCAGGATGGCTTGATGCCAGAGGGGGGAAAAAGAAGACAGAGAGAGGGGAGAGAAAGAAAAATTAGTATTCTCCTACTAGCCTCGCTATAAATCAATCATGGACTCCTACGTGGTGAGCTGTAAATATGCTGAGCCGCAGTTCCCGCCTTGTGAAGAAGATTACAGTAATTTTACTGACCAAGGGGGGTATTACAACAACAACCACCCCCAGGACAGTGGCAGTTACGCGGGGGGCTATCAGCCCGTGCATCCCCCTCCGCCTCCCTACACACCCCAGCAGACCGGCTACCAGGGGCATCACCGGGAGGATGGAGAGGAGCGCGCGCAGGGCCAGGGCGCGAGCTACCCGCCGTACAGCAGGGACGCGCACGCGGCCGGGAAGGAGCGCTTCCCCGCCGCTGACCTGCAGTGCCAGGCCTGGATGACCTGCGCCAAGCCCGCTCAGGTGCAGAGGAAAGCGGCCTGCCAGGGCAAAGACAAGCCGCCCATTGTTGTCTACCCGTGGATGAAGAAAGTGCACGTCGCTCACGGTGAGATGGATGATGGGATGGAGGCTGGAAAATGTCCAGCTTCCCCTCCAAAAGCGCCATTTCGTTTCTGCTGTCTGCGCGTAATATCATCAGTTTTTTAAAAATAATGTTTTATCGTCTTTTTTTTTATACCATTCGGTCTTCTTTCCCTTTCTCTATTTCTCTCTTTCTTCCTTTCTTTCTCTCTCCCCTTCTTTCTCTCTTGTCCGTTTGTGAGCATCGTTTTTGTTGTCGGGTTATTTACGATCTCGGTGAGGTCCAGCGAGAATTACAGCCCCTATAAAGTTTTATGGCCCCTGCCACAATGCGGGTGTGTGGTGTGTGTGTGTGTGTGTGTGAGAGAGAGAGAGAGTGTGTGTGGGGGTGTGTGTGAGATGTGTGTGTGTGGACATGCTCGCGCTATATGGTGCGTATCTGATGTGCAGCGATGCGGCCAAAAACAAAAAGCTGCGAGCTAAAAAATAAATAAAATAAAGCAAAAATCCCTGGACTTCCTCCCAGAAAACCACAAATGAAGATTTGCACAGAAATAACATAATTGGAGCGGTTGTTGTTTGGAAAAGAAATGAAAATGCTAATTCTGTTTTGTCTAGATCGCTTACTGTGCAGGCTAAATCATGAAATATTTAATCTCCATATTAAAAAAAAAATGCTTAAGGAATGGCAAATAGAACTGTTGAAATTTATCTAAATATAGATTTTAAATGCGAGTTATTTCCTCACCTGAATGTGTTTTTTAAATGTGTTTTTTTTTTTTACAGTGAATCCGAATCACGTGGGTCCGGAGCCCAAGCGGTTGCGCACGGCCTACACGCGCCAGCAGGTCCTGGAGCTGGAGAAGGAGTTCCACTTCAGCCGGTACCTCACGCGCCGCCGCCGGGTGGAGGTGGCGCACGCGCTGTGCCTGTCGGAGCGGCAGGTAAAGGTGTGGTTCCAGAACCGGCGCATGCGCTGGAAGAAGGACAACAAACTGCCCAACACCAAAGGACGGAGCAAAGCCAAGAAGGGCACGGACAACAACAACAACAACAACGGAGGCGAGACCGTGAAGGCGGCCATCACCGTGTGAAAAACCCCCGCGTGGGACCGGGGTTTGGCCCTCAGAGGACAGCACCTTCACTCCAAAACTCACTTTTGCTGAACTGATCCGGGAAACAACCTTAAACCGCTTCCAATTCCCAGGCTAAACACCCATTGTGAATTTTTTTTAACGTATTTCCCCCTTATTTTAACCTTCCTTTAAAGCATTTCCAAGCATCTCCGTTAGCCATAGGCTGGGGAGGATGTCAGTTTAAGTTTATCTATTTAATCAACCAATGAATGTCTTTGAGTTGTTGTATAGTTTTCTGTTATCCCACAGACATGTGCTATGAAAGGCGCAAAGCACGGTGCCTGTTATAGTGCCACACGACGGGAGAGTGTGTGTGTGTGTGAGAGTTGGAAAAAACAGGGTTTGTTTTGTGTTATTATTTTCTACAGGGTAAACATAACACAGGGTTTTTTTTATAATCGTGACGTAAAAAAATAGCCTAATGTATGATTGTATACGTGTCCCCGAAATGTTCCGCAAAACGGTGCGTAAAAAGGGGAAAGGAGAGGACAGATACCAGCAGCAGAAAGACCAAAATGCTCGGCGGCTTTCTCGTAGAATAATAATCGTATAGCTTTTTTTTTTTTGTAGGAATGTAGCCATATTGTGCAGATTTATTTTACTTTTTTGGAATATTTCAGAATCTCGGGCTCCAGGTCGTTTGCTGGAGACAGCGGAGTTTTGGGGCAGACTTGTAATGCACATCAGTGACTGTAATTCAGCTCATTCTCTCAGGGTTACAGGGTTTTAAGAGGAGAAATCCCTCAAGCTTGGTTTGGTTGAGGTTTTAAACGAGCCCCTAATCGTTACATAAAAGCATGTTTTCTCCTTGATTACAGTTTAATATGCTGTCACAGCATTTTACGCCAGTACTTATTTCCATCATTTAGAAGCATATTTTATTCTTTGTAGCATCCTCATCTTTGATATATATAGATATATGTTACGTTTTTTTCAAAAGAAAAAATGAAAATTTCGTGTAAGATTTTTTATATGTGTAAATGTTTTTGGTAAAATAGCTGAGAAAAAAATAAATAAAAATCGTTGTTAAGCTTTGCGTGCGAGTGTGTTTAACGGTGAAAAGGGTCACGGAAGTGACGTGTCCCATGATTATTACTATAAGTGGCACATAATGAATGTGAAAAAGAAACGTGATCGTCTCATGTGAAGCCAGTGGAGGTGAGCCAAGAGCCAGAGCTGTATTACCGAGCTGAGAGCCAGTTAAAATCCGAGGACTGTCCCCAGTGGGTGGATTTTGATGAGGTTTCCTACTGAACCCGCTGATCAGTGTTTAATCACTAAAGGAAAGATTATGAGGACTGTATTTTGAAGGCAGCGCATGATTAAGAAGAAGATCTACCAATAAATTTAAAAATGGTTTTGATTAATATTTCGAAATAGACCTATACATGTTGAATACATTCTAATGGCTTTCAGAGTTTGTGAGCATGAGCATTTGAGTAAAGACCTCTGAAGCATGCAGAGGCTGCTGTTGCAGATCTGAGCTATGAGACACACTAATTGTCAGCTTCCGGTCGAGACGTGGATGGAAGTTCATGGAAGGCACAACGGGGGTTGGCAGAGAGCAACGAGAGGGCAGAAATACTTGGAAGAACCGCCGCAAACAAGATCAGATATTAGCGCGAAAAACATCATATTTTCAGCCTCTGCATCAAACAAAATAGTATCAATTTAAGAATACCAAATCCTCAATATGGATTGCATCTATATTTATTAGAAATAACCACAAATAGTGAAGGTTTTAGGCCAAAGCTTTGCTGCTTTCTTCCTGCCCCTGTGTGTGATGAGGCTGGGATGCCCCCTGCTGGAGATCCTACACATTGCAGGCCCACGTAAGTCAACCTCTGAAACATCCTGCAAAGGTGAGTTTTATTTCCCCACGGACACATCCATAAAGTGCTTCTTAGGATGATCTGTAAATTCAATCTACTGAATAGGTCAATGAATACATAAGCAGCCAGTGTCCTGCTCAAGGACACTCCGTCTGGAAACGATGGGAATCGAGCCACCGATTTTATGACGACCACCTGTACTGAGAATTCAGTAACATTTTCTATGGGAGAAAATAAACCTCTCAGACATATGATTTCCAGAAATATGTGGTCTAATAAGGGCTTACGCAAAAAAGGAGAGCAGGCTTTAAATAAGTCCAAGAAACAATCTAGGGATGGCTTGAAAATAAATATAATATAAATAATATATCTTATAATAATACTCTCACATGCAGTTGTTGTGACAAATCAGTCAAGCAGTTAGTAACATTTAAAATGAAACAATTACCACGTTTTAAGATAATGCAGAATATATAGATCTTTTCTCTTCATAAATCAGTGGTACTTATAGTTTTGCAGAATGGGGCCTTGTTTGTATCCCATTTCCACCACAATCTTTAATTATTCTGGCATATTGCTTTAGGTTTTGTGTCCTGAGACTTTCACACCCTCCTTAGTTGCACTATGCTTAAACTGAGCAGTGGGGGGAAATAAATAAAAGAAAACTATTTGCCATTACACCAAACTGAAAGCTAATATTTAGCATATTGCGACAAAACGCTGTCACCGGCAGCTCTGCATTAGGTGCGAAAAGTGGAACTAAAGAATCTCGGTCACCTTTTCTCGCCGGGACGTTCATCGCGGACGGACCACTGCAGGGCTGCAGATAAACACTTGCCCTTAACTTGGCATGAAACATTGTTGAGCTACTGTCTTATTGCAGCAAACAAACAGGGCATTACTAAAGCACAATGTCTCTTGCGGCAGATGCTTTCGTGTCGCAGATAGCAGGTAACGAGCTGAATCTCATCAGTGGGTTTTATGGTCGTTTGTGGGGCTGTCTTTAGCCAGTTAGCTACCGTTAACTAATAGCTAGCAAACAGTTTAACACAAGTTATCATCTTGAGTGACATTTATTGTTTGAGCATGCGTGATAATACGACAGTAAACCGTCTGTGCGTGTTTTATTCGGTGAGTTATGACTGGCTGTGTTTAAGCACCTTGATATAACTCAGGGTTAGCCTGTGTGCCCTCTAGCTAAACACGGATTGTGTGGGTTAAATGCTTTTTACGTGGCTCTGTTCTCCCTTTTGTGCTAAGACCTGAGCTTGGGGAGGGTGGTGAGTTCACTCAGAAACATCTCCCAAAAGGTCACCGTGATTAAGGCTGCGTTTCGAGGCGCGAAACGGCGACCCGTTTCAATGGAAGGCAGCTAAGCTGTGTAGCGTTCACTTACTCACGTAAAACCAAAGATGGCGGATGACGTCTTCTTCTGCCCTCCGGGAGGGCTGCACCCCCCCCACGGGCGCCCCACTTAAGCCTTTAGTGGCGGGAAACGGTACTACACACACTGTAGTGTGTGTGCCCCCACATATTGAGCAAAGTGGAGTGTTCAGTGATGGACAGATCTGCTGACTTCAGTGGATTTATAGAATTATAAATGCTTTCAGACCATCAGAAAAGTGGGTTGATTGTTTTTCTTTCTGTCTCAGTGCATGTAAGTCCGAAGGGAAAGCAACAAAAGCATTTTTTATAGATCTAGATGAACAAATCCTTATACATAAGTTGTGTTTCAATGTTATTAAAGGACAGATACAACCTACTGAATGTTTTTAACCAATGAGAATGCAGAAAGATGATAAAATAGATATAACAGATTTTTTTTTAAATTGTGTGGCAGGCTGAAATAATAGTGTGGTCAGGTCTAATCTCTGGTCTGGCTCATGAATGCCCCTGATGTTCTGCCTCAAACTCAGAGGGAACTTTTAGTCACTTTTAAGCTTTGTGTTAATGTGTGTCTGTTTGCTTTTGGCCCTGACAGCTGCTGAGCCGTGGCCTGAAAATGCAACCTTGTACCAACCGCTGAAGGGTAAGTCGGTCCATCAGAGACCAGAAACGCCGTCTCTCTGCTCTGCACCTGATTTAGCCGCTGGGTTTGATCTGCCTGTGTTTTGACAGAGGATCAGATTCTGCTTTCGGACTGTGCCTCGTCTCTTGCTGTTCAGGTACGCCCTTTTCCTGTCAGCCTCCTTTTCTAATACAGTGACGCCTCTCTGGGAATCGGTACGCTCTTTAGCTAATTACTTACATTGTCAATCAATTGTAGAGTCACCATTGGATTCTCTCTGAAATGAAGAGACCACACACTGTCTAATTTAGAAACTGAGACATAATGTTCTTTGTTTTTAATATATATGTTTAAGAATAGTTCAGAAAGAGTGATAAAGCTGTGTGATAATACCAAAGCTTTTTTTTTAAATGATCACAGTGTATGCTGTGTTTAATGTGAAACCAAACCCGAGTTCATTCAAGTTGGGAAAAATGCTCTCATGAATCATTGTGAGGTTCCTCTTGGAAGTTGTGGAGGTTGCATCCTCCCGGCCAAAGAGCAAATAGTCATCATGTCGTCGGCACACGGCTCGTCATATCTCCATGGCAACAGAGTCCAGGTGCAAAGACGGAGGACAGAGGAGGCCCAAAATAGGCATCCCAGCATGCGGGGGACAGTGCTTTTTGTGGGCCAAGCTGCGGACTGAAAGCACCCCGATACCTCACACGTTCCCCCAGATTATCCGCTGTCTCATTTTGGACCAATACATCTGATGCATTTTGGGTAAAAAAGTCTGTTGAAAGCTGTCCCGCTGCTCCTCCGCAGGCCTACCTCCGGATGTGCGGCCTGCCGGTGCAGGTGGTCTGCAGAGCCAACGCGGAGTACATGTCGCCGTCGGGTCAGTGCACACGCTGAATGAACACACAGAAATATTCTTTGTTTGGATTATTTGTTTTGACCTACTCGTTTGGATCAGCCATCAGTGTCGGGAACGCTGCTGATTCAGCTCTTTTTCGGCTCTCCCTTTAGGTAAAATCCCCTTCATCCACGTTGGGAACCAGGTGGTGTCCGAGCTGGGGCCGATAGTTCAGTTCACGAAAGCTAAGGTGCCGTAGCAGCCCGCCGTTTGCAGTGATGTGGTCGCCCGTTTAAGAGGAGGGAAAAACTGTTTGTTGTCTCTCAGGGTCACTCCCTCAGCGACGGCCTGGACGATGTCCAGAGGGCTGAGCTGAAGGCTTACATGGAGCTGGTCAACAACATGCTGCTTACAGCCGAGGTACGAACACCACTCACCAAACACACCCCACCCCTGAAACGGGGGCCGTTTCTCATTAAGGCTCCCTCTCCCCTGACCAGCTGTATGTCCAGTGGTGTGACGACGCCACGGCCGCCGAGGTGTGTATCCGCCTTTTTTTCACTTAAAAACTCAGAGAGCTCCTCAGGCCTCCTTCTCAAATTTTACGCTCATTTTGCAGATCTCGCGTCCCAGGTACAGCAGCCCGTACTCGTGGCCCCTCAGCAACATCCTGTCCTATCAGAGGCAGTGGGAGGTACGCAGGAAGATGAACGCCATCGGCTGGGGAGCGAAAAACCTGGAGCAGGTGAGCAGCGCCACGCCGGCATTTTCCTGATGTGGTCCTTGTTTTTTCCTCTGGGCAACATCCTTTGAAGTGAATTTTTGGAGTTCCACCCATTTGTCGTTCATAAAACACTCTATACAGACATAAACCCGAGCATAAGCAGCCTGTGTTGTTTTTCAGGTGTATGAAGATGTGAGTCAGTGCTGCCAGGCTCTCTCTCAGAGGCTGGGAACACAGCCCTTTTTCTTTAATAAACAGTAAGTTTCCTCTCTGCTGCCCCTCTGATGCATCCACAGCAGCTGTTTATTCATGATAGAAGGAGCTGCTTTCATGGGGTCAGGCCTAAATGGCACCGTGGACGTCTCTTTAGCACCACCTGCTGGTGTAAAGGCGACACAACGCCTTAACCCAGTGAGCGGAATCAGTTTGTTCCCCTTTAGACTCTCAGCATCATGACGGATAATCAGATTTCTCATATTTTGAAACAGTTTATTGATCTAACATTTGCTTAAAATTCGACACCGAATATATGTCAACTCTATTCATATGGTGTCATATGAATAATATACTATGAATACCAATCAGTATTTATAAAAATACAGAATGATGTCTGGAATCTATTTAAGATACACCTCTATCTAAAATAAAGCGAATTTCTTGAAGCGAAGCACATTCGTATATTAATTCTTCATTTCTGAAAATGATACCCTTCAACATTTATTCTAAATGTATTCGTCTTTTGGTTCTTCTATGTCTATAGTACCAAATCTGAAGGCTCTCTTTAGATACGGTCCAATTTGAGCCTATCATACTCCAATTAAATGTAATCAAGTTTTAAGGCAGGAAAAATTAAATCAATGAAATGCCATTAAAAAGCTTTCAGAGTTCCACAGTAACAAACACTCGGTGTGTGTTTCCCTGTGTGTGTGTGAGGCCCACGGAGCTGGACGCGCTGGTGTTCGGCCACCTCTTCACCATCCTGACCACCAGGCTGACCAGCACCGAGCTGGCCGAGAGGATCAAGAGCTACAGCAACCTGCTGTCCTTCTGCAGACGCATCGAGCAGACCTACTTCGAAGACAAGAGCTCCTGAAGGACTGAGAACAACCTCTCTGTCGTCCCACCTTGTACATTCTGCATCACCTCCTCATTCCCCCTATTGTAGCACTGAGAGGCTGACCGCTGCCCATCTGCACACGCCCAGAAGTCTGCGTCTCTCTCTCCCTTTTGCCTCCTGCTTGTACATTGTTGCTTGCAGCTGTTTGGACGTCAGAGGAGCAGGTTGTGTTAAGTGTTAAGATTTATCTAAAAAAAAAAGTGGGAAAAACGCAAAAGTCTATGTAATGGCACTAATCGCCACTCTTTTTTGGGGGGTTAATAAAGTAAAGAATGATCTTTAGAGCATGCAGCCAACACAAAAGTCAGTTTGAGGAACCTCAGCCGTTTTAGCTGAATTGCCAAACGAGTTTTCCAGTGTGCAGACGGAGTGGTGACTGATGTCCACAGCGGGCAGGGATTCGATATCAGGGTCCAGAATAAGTCAGATACATTGATGCTTTATGAAACAGAGGCAGAGATATATTTATTT